GTGTGTTCGATTGTTCTGCACCTTTACATCGCTCGTTGTTGTCTATTCTATGGACAACAACGTTCGAAAGGGGGGAATTATGTAGCATTTGGACCAATCAGACACACAACTTTTTGTTATATTTAACAAATAATATCGAACTCCCCATCACCTAACCAAATGGCCAATTACGAGGGTCTATGGACCCTTCCCCCGAAATGCACCTAACACCTCAGAAAGGCAGAACAGGCCTCTGGTTCCATGGTAACCAATGCTGATATCACTGGTTTTATGGCCTAAAAGGAATGCAGGGGATAAACTCCCTCATTTTCCTCATAAGAAAGGCACAAATGCACAGGAGAAACTGACTTTTCTACTAATTAATTCATAGGAAAACCTTCTTTGAATGAACACCCATTTTCTTCAGGCCATTGTGTATATTATTGCTGTGTTGTATTTAATCTGTTGTATTATAGACTATTTTTATTCATGCTTACGATAAACCACTCATTCATATAAGTAACTCTACCATGTCTAGTATCTATGAATTCGTCTTCGGATGATCTAACTGAGAGTGCATATTACATGCTGATACCTCTGCAACATATTGATGTTCTAAGAATCGGTACTAATTTGTGCCTCAACACTCCAGCGAATTACATATGCAAAATACCATGCTTAGAGACAAAGGGCCATAAAAACGCAGAACTCCCGCTTGAGATTCCGGACTTCCCCATTGGGCAAGCCCATCTTGAGAGGCTTGAATCTCTGCAGGCTTTAAAGGCCACACTCCATGTGACCCGCCCTGTTCGGTGGTTCAGTGAGATGCTAAGATGAAGATGTGAGAAACGCTCCAGGATACCAAAGCTCGTGCCAGGCTCCGGCCTAGTCCTTTTTATTCATCAAGTGATTCTGACTCAAACTAGCTCTTTTTCATCAACCAACTTCAGCAAGATCTTGGGGCCTTAAGATTGCATCAGGAATCTTTTTCAGACATACGCAAGTATCAAACTGAGTCGATTTCATTGATGCATTAAGTATCAGTTACACCTTTTTACAAGGTTTGTTTGAACTAAGAATCTGACGTTTTCCCTCAGGTTTTAGATCTGCTGAATATGCAAAATGGTTCCATAAATGTCATTCCTTATGTGTCTTTCTTTAGTGCTAAACTTTAACCCTTTCCTATACCAACTGTATGTGTGTGTGTGTGTATGTGTATGTTAGACCGGCTTAATGTGTTTATGTAGTATGTTAGACTAGTTTAAGTGTTTATGTAGTTAATAAAACCTTACTTGTATATACTATTGTGTTTACTCATAACCGGAGTCAATAATCATGCAGATTTACGTTACAAACTTATAGAATTGTACAGTAAGAAAGTTATTTCCTTTAACCAGGAAATTAACGTTCTTAGAATTGACAAGACGGTTGACCCTGAGTGGTCAGCTAAATATCTACAGTGGATCTAAAATATTAATAATTAATCATAATTAGTTATGGTTAATTATTCATATTTCCCATGAGCTAATTCGCTACAAACACTTGGCACTGACACAGTTCTCAACACTTTTGGAACAAATGTATCGATTTATATACATCACAAATAGTTACAGTATTTGGCATGTGATTTTATATACAGTATTTGGCATCTAATCATATTTTTTAAGTTTATTTCTATATGTCTAGTGTTGGGAAAAGGCTTAAATGCAATGAAATTCTGAACATACATACATTATTAGAGACCATTTTTATAAGTGTAGAAAAAAGCAGCTCTGGAGCCTATTGAATTAATGATACAAAACATTTTTTTTGTTTTCTGTGCTGTTTTGTTATTATTTCGTCCCATTAATATAACAATGAATATTTTTTTTTAATTAAGTGGTATTAAAATTACTAGATATGAATATGATATTGACATATATTACTATTGATATGAATATTTATTACAGTATTTAAATGGTCAGAAAATGTCATGACTCAATCCTCAATGGCTGAAATATATCATGCATTTGCATTTGTAGCTAAATTGTATTGTGAATTCAAAATATTCACTTTTTGTATCAAAAATAAATAAACATACCCCAATGCAAATTTTGATTTTTATAACCCATGGTTTCCTAAAAACATGTTGAAAAAAATAATACATCCTGAATATCAAAGCTTGGGTCTCTTAGGGTAACTTAAGACAAGTAGTAGTTTTCTTGAAAACAAGCAATCATTTCTGTCCGTTTTTGGCATCGTAAGTGCTAAGTAAAGCAATTTTGTGATGAAATGAGTCTGTCTCCTGTTCAGTTCAGCTGCCCTCAGACTCTTATACCTCTCTTAAAAAATGGTATGGGATAACATCAATAGTCACATAATAGCAAATAATATCAAACCAACCAGCATGGTGAATAACTAATTTCACATTTTCAAGTCATTTTCAAGCCATTTGTTGTTATGAATTTGAACCAAGTGGTGTCAAAGTGATTTCTGGAAATATGAGGTTAGTTCTAGCAGACTAATCAGAAGTAGAAATAATATTAATAATGATAAAAAAATTGAGGAAATACATTTGACATGAAAAGTGTGTTTGTGCTTTATCTCTTTAAAATACATGTATTTATATTTTACAAGTATTTTAGCATCTAATACAATGACACTCTTAAAAAATTTTTATTTTTTTTGTCATGGATTAGGTTTTCAAATATTTTTGGATTTCGTCACCTTGGAATTATAAGGTTCTATCTGACATTTTTGTCAAAACTGAGTTATTCACATACTTATTCTGTGACAACTTATTTACATTATGTGATGTGTTCTATCTATAAAGTACTGTATATGGAATGCAAAAAAATTTGAAGCTCAATATCTCAAAACCACTAAGAATGCAGATTTCTCTGCAGGGGGACAATTTATTAGAGCTGGCTGAAGCCACGGTGACACTGGCAGAGGTCCTGGAGCTGAAGGGCGACCCCACAGGCCTGGTGGAGGGGATGGTCATCGAGAGCCGCACAGACAAATGCAAAGGGTGAGTGTAAACGAGACATCCCTACAGTGTCAGAGATTCATAAGGACTACACTTGATATTAGATCATAAGAGTCTTTCCATCAGCTGTTATGTTTCCACAGGCCGGTTACCACAGCCATCATCCAGCGCGGCACTCTGAGGAAGGGCTGTAACGCTGGTGGCAGGAAAGTGCTGGGCTAAAGTGCGCTTCATGTTTGATGAGTATAATCAGGCCGTGAGTGAGGCCGGACCCAGCATCCCTGTGGAGATCATGGGTTGGAAAGATCTTCCCTCTGCTGGTGAGGAGATCCTGAAGGTGGAATCAGAGGTATCTTATAAGCTTGTGCTTTTAGAGAGCCATATTATACACTTTGTAGCATTTTTTATGATATATGTTATACACTACTAGTCAAATATTTGAAATCAGTAAGATTTTTAAATGTTTTTGAAAATTCTCTTACGCTCACCAAGGCTGCACTTATTTGATCAAAAATACAGTAATATTGTGAAATATTATTACTATTTAAAATAGCTATTTTCTGTTTGATTCTAATATATTTTAAATGTTATTTATTCCTGACGCAAAGCTTTTTGCAAATGCAAATTTTCAGCATCATTACTCCAGACTTCGGTGTCACATGATCTTTCAGAAATCATTCTAATATGCTGATTTCAAGAAACATTTCTCATTATCAATGTTAAAAGCAGTTGTGCTGCTTAATTCTTGTGGAAGCTGGGATACATTTTTTTCAGGATTCTTTGATGAATAGAAAGTGAAATTAATAGAAAGAAAACGGAATTTATTTGAAATAGGAAACTGTTATAACATTATGAATTTCTTTAGTGTCACTTTTGATCAATTTAATGCTCCTTGCTGAATAAAAGTATTAATTTCTTTTTTTTTAAATCTTACCCCAAACTCTTGAACAGCAACGTTTCAGTTTCTACAAAAATATTAAGCAGCAAAAATCATTTTTAGCATTTGTTATTAATAAGAATTGTTTTTTGAGCAGCAAATCAGAATGATTTTAACTTATATTCAAACTGAAATTTTAAATTGTAATAATATTTCACAGTATTGTTGTTTGTACCAATACATTTTACCAACAATTTTGATCAAATAAGTGGATATATGATGAAATTTTAGTGTTATTTCTAGACTTGGAAAAAATCATGGAAATTAATAAAATCTTAAAAAGTCATGGAAATGTGTATAATGAATAAAATTGTACTAGTTGCAGGCTCTAAAATGTTTTAAAGAGTAGAAATCGCTATTTGTGAGTAAAATAATAAAAAAGCAGTCACGAAGGATGGGAAAAGTCATAAATTAGACTTTAGTAGTTATAGAAAAGTGGAAATATATTAGTAATAAAAAATTAATAAATTATGAATAACATTCAGTTATTGAAACTTGTAGAGTCATGGAATTTAATTATTTATATTTATATATTTTTATGATATTGCCACTCTGTAAATTTCAGTTTCTGTAAGTATGAAAGTTTGAGCAGCTTTGTAATTACAGCAGAAATAGCTTAAGGACTTTCAAATATCCTTGATAGCAGGGAACCTTGAAGTCAAAAAGGGTTGGCAACCACTGATTTACAGCCCTTAAATGAACAGCTATTGTTTTCATTTTTCATTTTCATTTACCCCCCTCATTGTTCAGGCACCATATGCGGGTTCAATGTCGCTGCAAATAAATCGGTTCAGCAGATGGCTGCAAAGAAGGGAATTCCCTTAAAATTACACAGAGTCATCTACAAACTCATAGATGAACTCAAAGACGACCTGAGCAGCAAACTGCCCCCGACCACAGAGGAAAATATAATTGGTGAGTTTAACTTTAATATTGTTGATTTTAAACTCTATTTGTTCTATTAAAGGTTGATAATTTAGCTTCACCAGTCATGCTTCCCTTCCCAGGCCTAGATATAATATATACAGACTTTCCTGCAGTGAAACATACACATAGTAAAATGTGTTAAATGGAGCTGAGGCCAACCGGACAAAAAGATGAAATTCAGATTTATTCAAGGGAGAAATATTCTCTGGGAAGGTAAGCCAGTGCTGATAAATGCCACAGTTGTGCAGCTTGGGTGTTTTTCTGTTAAATGCATGCTCTTGTAATGTTTAACGGTTTTAATATTTCATGTTTTTTCATGCATTTGTATTCTCCTTCAGGATCCGTGACAACACTGAAACATCTGAAGGATGAAGTTCTGGCAGTAAAGACAGGTATGGAATGTGGCCTTTCTCTAGATAACGAAGAACTTGGAATACAAACCTGGGGATGAAATCATTTGTTACAGTGAATCTGAGATCAAACTGAAAATATCCTGGGATCCGGGATTTTAACGGACTGCATTTGGCACATCAGTATACTATGCTCTATAGTATGCATGCACATTTATAAAACAAAATTGGCTATAGCACAGCTACACCGTCACCAACAGATAATTTAAAAAAAAAACAGTAACATTTCATTGTCTTCATTTTGACTCTAGATATCAGGACTAAAATAAGTGTACATAATGTATCTTATAATGTAAAGAAAATGAGGGAAGTCTCACAATTTAAAAAAAAATGTTCTTTGAAAAGTGTCATGATTTTCATCCTACTTCATGCATATTTCATCAATTTAAACTGATTTCGCACAAACTAGTTTTCGTAAAACATTAAGCAGTACATTAAATATATATTTAAAAATTATTGTCAAGATGGAAATTCAATTCCTGGGATACAGGGCAAAAAACACCATACACAGATCATCTTTAAGGTAGGTAGGGAAGGTACAAAAGTTAAGAGAGCTCAAAATCAAGATATAAGCTGACACCATCTTTCCTATTTTAGTTTGTTCCCTCAACAGCTGTCATTTTTAAGAACTAGGGTTCCCAAATTTGGAAAACCTGGATTTATGAAAAATGTAAGTGTGATTTCTAGAACTGAAAAACTCAAGTGTACAAGTTACAAAAATTTATGAAATCTTAAGTCATGGGCATTTTATAAGGAACATATCTACTTCTGAAGGGGAAAAACCGTGACAAATGACTAGAAAATGTATCAATTAGAAATTCTACATTCATTGGTAATTAAAAAGTGTAAACCCTGAAGAACTCGTCAGCTTTAAAAACATATACATAACATAAATATATGTATTTTTATTTTCAAAATAAGAATACTCCTAAAATAGACTTTGTATCCCGCATGTCCGGTTATCAAGAATCATAAGTGTTTATTTTTATTTTTACATGATCACTTACCATTGATAATTTTATCCAACATATCACTTTAGCATAATAATTTGAATGCCTAATAAGTTTAAAACCCCAAAAAGTGAAATTAAGACTCAAGAGATGAATTTTTGAATGTGGCAGGCCACAACTTTATTTACAAAGTACAAACTCCAGAACAGACGATCTCCTGCGTTACACAAGAGCATGTCGTCAGGACCGTACTTCACTTGTCCTCTGGTTTGTTGAAGCAGTAAGTCAGGCAGCACTTCCCGCAGTAATGACGGTCAAAGTGGCTGGCCATGAACACCCCGGCTCCACACTCATCTGCTGGACACTCGCGGCGCAGCCGGTGGATCTTGCCGTTCTCATCAACCTGAGGATCAAGACAGACATCCTAAAATCATACCGGTGCCTCCCAAAGCTGAACACAGAACACAGAACACATGCAGCTGGCTAAAAAAAAGAATGAGTATAGCAGATGAATGGCACTGATTGTAACTGACCTTGTAGTATTTCAGCACAGCGAGCTTGACCTTCTTTCTCTTGTGCTTGTTCTTCTTGGGGGTGGTGTAGGACTTCTTCTTCCTCTTCTTAGCACCACCACGCAATCTCAGCACTAGATGAAGTGTGGACTCCTGGATGAACGATCGCAACGAAGTTAGTTGAAGTATATTATACGATTGGAAAAGCAAGAAAGCTTCAATTCTGTATGACTGTACCATTAGTCACTGACCTTCTGAATGTTGTAGTCGGAGAGGGTGCGTCCGTCCTCCAGCTGTTTACCAGCAAAGATCAGCCTCTGCTGATCAGGAGGGATTCCTGCACTCAACACATGCTACAGTCAGTATTTTGTCATGATGTGTGCAATGCTGCTAAAAAAAAGACAACTTACCTTCCTTGTCTTGAATCTTAGCCTTGACATTTTCAATGGTATCAGAGGGCTCAACCTAGAACACATTAAGGTTAGTTGAGATTCGTCTTAAATAACAGTAAACTGCACTTAAACCAATAGCTATTTAAGCACTTCAAATGTATAGAAGACCAATGGCAATTGTTACATTTTTATTTTAAGTTTCTAATATTTGTAGCGTTTTTTTTTTCTCCTTTGTGTAACGTTTTGATGCTTTTGAATTTAATCTAATATCTATTTTATCTGTAGGTTGGTAGTTAACAAACGGCAAATGCTTACACTGTAATTGGCACCAACAATTTATTAATATAGCTGTGAATTGAGAGGTTGTAGTATAATGGAAGATTATTAGTCCCTCAAAGTCAAAGCTGTGTAACGTTAACGCGGCTCGTCTGCGCCTCACCTCGAGGGTGATGGTTTTCCCCGTGAGGGTTTTCACGAAAATCTGCATCTTGATGTTCAATCCACCTGTGTATAAAACAGAGGTGAATGTTTCTAGCACATTTTAAGGGATTTATATGTACGAATATCACATTTATTTCGCTATTATTCGTTCGTAACAGTAACTCACCACCAGCTCTAAGATGGCGGAAATCGAAAAGGGTCCTGGAAACGGAACAACGTGCTCTTCGGCGCTGTAAGGCTGCCCGACGAACTGCCTGAAGAGAAGAAGAAGAAAAAACAACACAAGTGAGTTATTGTATTTAACAGTTTTTGAAAATGTTTTTTGTTTTTAATTAGTAGTATAGAAGCCGTTATTTTAATCATTAACATATAACGGCTAACTATATAATATTGTATTTATATTTTATTAAGCTGTTAAAATCGATTTTGTTATGATACTGAACACATTACAGTGTCTGAAGATTCAAACATATGTCGACTGATAAATGTGTATTTATACAGCTAAAACTTCACATTATAAGAAGTCTGTTTCCTCAGAACAGTTTTGCCTCATGGAATAATTAAAATCTCTTGTTTTTTAATGAGTGGTATTGTATTATTATTATTATTATTATTATTACTACTACTAACGAAAAACTTTACTGCTTAAGTGCTGTTTACTGCTCAGGTGCTATTTTGGAATTCATATCTTGTGATTGTTGAGTGTGTGGCAGAAATGTACAACAGGGGCGCTATAGCCTACATAGAGGATTTGAGAGTTGTGCACCAGAAATGAAAATGTATTCAGTTGACTCACTGTGGTCACTTGATGCTTTCTCTGGGCTTAAACCTCTTTCACATGCATGCATGCAATGTCCGACAAAGTCCTCCTGACAAGCGTGCCAAGGTTTTTCTTCCTCTTTGTCGCATTACATAATGCATCCTTTCCAGCCCTTGTTTAAGCATATGGTCTTTTGCCAGTTTACCCAATTAACTGCACAGCAATTCTTATGTGAAGATTGTGTAATCTTGATTTTGTAAGCAGAGGCAACAGCCTGTGCATAACATGGCTGTTGCGGCATCTCTCACTGCCAAAAATCAAATATTTTGCAGTGCAGAAGCAGAATGAGGAAATTGAGCGTTTTGTAGTTGTGCATCCAGAGCTGGATGAGTGTGGTGTGTTTCTGAATAGTATGCTCCCATAGACGTCAACACACCATTTACACACAATTATGCAATGGCCTTTAGATACGAGACTACTCCGCAGGCATGAGTGATTACTGTTGACATCTAGGTGCTACGTTATAGAGTTGCTCCGTGAAGAAAGCAGCCAGTGCAAGCCTACAAATTGTGTGTGCCACGACACGTAGTGTTCCAAAAACAGGACCGTCTCCGCCTGTGATAAGTGCCCAGGGGGAAGGAGCAAGTAGATACAGAACACAGCTGAGGAATAAGGGTGGAGCCAGATCTAAACAGCAGCGTTGGAGTTGTAGATCTGACATGAGAGAGCAGAGCGCATGCACTATTTATGAGTCTATGAATACTATCAGACAAAGGATAACGCCAGATGAAAGTTACAAAGAGCTAGATGGGATGCATTGCATATTTTCACTAGATAAAACGTACACACTCACACGTTGAAACTCGTGCTTCAGGAATAGTTCACCTAAAAAAAATGAAATTTGCATAAAATGTGCTCACCCTCAGGCCATCCAAGATATTGACGTGTTTGTTTATTCATCAGAACAGATTTGGGGAAATGTATCATTACATCACTGTCTCACCAATGGATCCTCTGCAGTGAATGGGTGCCGTCAGAATGAGAGTCCAAACATCTGATAAATACATCACAATAATCCACAAGTGATCCACACCTTGCACTCCAGTCCATCAGTTAACATATTGAGAAGTAAAAAGCTGCATGTGTACGCAAATGCGACCGAGACAAGACAAAGACCATCAAAAAATGGTCTTAAGACCGGTCTCAAGACCAAGAATAGTCTCGAGTACTTCAACACTAATATATATCACATAAAGATAGTGTTTGAAAAATCTTCAGACATTTTTATTTCAATTTTAGTTTTAGTATTTTTCAGCACTTTAACTTAAACATTTTATTTCAGTTAGCCTTGTACCATAAGAACATTTACCTTTGTTTGTTTTATCTAATATTTATATTTGATTTGATTTCAGCTATATTTCAGTTCCCCAAGATGGATAGTTTTAGTAACAATAACAAAAAAATTATGAGGGCGAGTAAATAATAACAGAACGTTCAATGTTCTTTAGCTTTTAAAACACGATTTAATTTTCATTTCAAATTTAGGATATGATGTATGAACATTCAGTGTATTAACATCTCACCAATTATAATGAGTCTGATTTCTATCAACAAGGCAGTTCCTGATGAAATCCCCTAAGCCATTACTAATGTTATGATTGGGTTGTTTATATCTATAGGAATAAAGAATTTAGACGGATAAGCTTGTGCAATGTGATAAGAGATTGTTTGCATATGTGAGTGCTGTTTGTTGCCATGTGAAGCCACACCCCTGCTGTAAGTGAGTGAAGATCACAGTTCATTGCCCTGCAAATTCCACATAAATACGAGCCAGATTCTTCTTCCAAATTTGGAACAACAAACCCGCAAAACACCCTGATCAAAGAAACCTCCTGAAATATCTTGACAGAGAGATGGAGCCACAATATCTTCCTCCCTATTCTACTTTTGACAGTTTACATTTCAGGGACCAGTGTAAGGATGACATTTAACTGATTTGCTTATAATCAGGTTTTTATGGAAATTTGCCGTTAAAGGGATAGTTCACCCAAGAATTAAAATTGTGTCAACATTTACTCACCCATTATGTTGTTCCAAACTTCTATCAGTTTCTTTCTTCTATTGAGCACAGAAGAATATATTTTGAAGAA